ATACCCTTTGGTTGGTTGATGATGCATAGAGGGGATTGTAACCATGGCAATGAAACAATATACGATAGGATGAATAAAAAAACTAATGTTCTCCCATGTAAACTATCTTCACAATAAAACATTTAAAAAAACCAAAAACACACACACACACACAAAAAAAGTGCTACCAGCACTCCTAAAAATAGACAAGACAATCATAATTTGTCATAATGCTAAGAGTAGGTTCCAAAGTATCCTAATTCTTAGACCTCCTGTAAAAAGCAATAGCTGCAATCAAGTCGATTTTGACTCATGAGTACGTCACGTGCACAAGAGTAGAACTGAGCTCCATAGTGTTTCCATTGGTTGAATTTTCAGAAAGAGTTTCCAGGCCTTTCTTTTGAGGCACCCCTGGGTGGACTTGAATTTCAACTCTTTGGTTAGCAGTTGACTATAAACGGTACCTCAAACCTAGCCTTCCTGTTTCTCAAACCTAATATTCTGTCAAACTAGAGAATGGTATTGTGTATCTCTAAAGTATAAGGGATGTCTTCAAGATGTTAATACAAACTTACATTCAGAATCAGAAAATAAGAGATTCACTTTAGGTATTATCTGAGGAATTTTCTCTGTTTTCATTCGACTGTTGTTGGATTTATATAACGGGCCTATCTCTTGCCCCAAACCATGTTGACTCTTACATTTTGTAAATTATAGAATTTCTTTCTGCCCTTCCTCTGTCCAATTCCTCAGGTTGATTCAGTTTATGAACTTGTTTCTGCCAAACTGGTCAGCAAAGAATGGAAGGCGAATGTATTTTAATGGAGATGTTTTTCAACTGATCAGAAAAAAAAAGGGGGGAGGCTTGTATACTGTACTAATGTTCTCCCACTAAAAGGTACTGTTGAACCCTAATTTGCATAATTTTATTGTGTTTATTAATATGTTAGATGAGTATTATGCAAGTTAAAAAATTCCTTTGTTTTCCCACAGAAACCAAAAGTCTAACTTATAAGGCTAAATGCCACCCTGAGTTCAAACTTGATGGCCTTATGCTTCTCATTTCTGTTAACTGAAGATCTTTGGTTTTAAAATTTGCTCGAAAAATGTATGCTTGTTGTCTCTCACAGACAAAGACACACATTCCATATGCCATGAGGACCTAACTGGCCCAGCATTTATGGGAACTGGTTTCTCATCAGACGTGCCTGTTGTCTCTGCCACAACTTAGAGCAGAAACAGCTAATTGGGCAGTAACTTGTATGGCTATAAACTTTAGACCAAAGTCCCATCAGCCATATACCACCCATTACCAAAGGAATGGGGTGGCAAGGACCTGCCTACCAGCCTACACCCAGACTCATCATGAAGCCAGTGTGGGCAGGGTACAGATGTGGATATACCCGGTACACATCAATTGCAATACGGTTTGAATTTTTGCATCAGCTAAGTTAAAAAAAAAAAAAAAAGGGACTAAATAATCATAACCATTGTCACTGATTGAGAGTTAGTATGTGTCAAATACTGCTATGAAGTAGTTATCACCATGTTTTAAATGGATGAGGCTGAGAAAGGTCAAATGATGTGCCTAAAGTTTTCCAATCAGGAAGGAAGTGGTAGGGGGAGAAAGATCCAAACCTAAGCTTGCCTGATTTGAAAGAGGCTCAGATGAGACAGATGGAAGATCTGCTTGCTGATAGTTGAGGGGAAATTTGGTCCCAAGTGTAGCTCTGTAAGACTTGTAGAAAATAAGAAGAGACTAGCTCTTATAAGAAAGAGTAACGGTTTGAATTCAGCGGAACTGAGGTTGTTCTCACCTTTGTTACTTACTATCTGAACCAGAACAAATAATTCAACCTCTCTTGTCCTCTGTTTCCTCATTTACAAAATACAAGTTATGGACTACATGGTTTCCAAGGCCTCTGTTGGTTCCATCTTCTGTAACCCCTCCATGCTTGAAGACTCTCCAAACTTGGGTCTGGGTGGGTGCTCACTGAGCAGAAGACCCCCCTATGGTGGTGGGCCAGCTGACTCCAACACTTCCTGGAAGGTGGCGAGAGTTTACCATGGTCCCATCCTTATGGGGCTGACACTTGGTCAGTGTGATGAGGGACAGCAGATCTCCCTCCTGAGACACTAAGTAAAAGTCAGCCCCACTTTATTTACTCATTTTACCTACCTGTATATTAAAGACCTCAAATCCTAGGAAGTTAAACCCAACATATTTCTGTCAAAATCCTCTGCAGAACAGTAAACCATGGTTTTATAAAAGTCAAAATTTAAAAATTATCATCTGATTTCTCACAACATGATGTAATACTTGAGTTGGTGTACCTGGAATTATTCTAGCTCTGCTGAACAAAGACAGAGGGAAACAGAAAGAGAATATGTGTGTTGTGCACATGACACCAGTCATGAGTCCTACCGTATCTCCAGGCTGTGGACGCATCACGGACACACGATCATATCCTTTCCTTAGTAGGACCCACAAGGCATCGAGTTTTCCCTGAAATAAAACAAATGAACCACGATTACATACAAAACCAGCATAGGCATGTAGAACCTTTTGTGTTTCTCCCGCCATGTGAAACAACACCGTACAACAATGTGGCAAGAGACGTGTCCCTCTTTTCCCAGAGTTCTCACTGTGGGTTTTATGAATGTAGCTGGAGAGAAGAGAAATGTAACATAGAATCACTGAAGTTCATGAAGCATATGCCGTGAGAACTAGCATAGCCCCAAATTTGGAAGCATGGATAAGCTCATTCAGAATCTTGGCCTTTTCCCTTATCACAAGTCTGGGCATATTCTCATACCATAAGTTAATTTTTTCAATTCTCACTAAAAATTCTTCTTCCACCTGGTGACCAGAGTTCATCAATGACAATAATTGATGACAACTTCAGGAAAGGAACTAAGGTGAAGGGCAAGACCAAATAAAGATTTCTGGGATGTAGATTCCCGGCAAGCTGCGAGAGTCATTCACCAGCTACAAGTTGCTTCAGAGCTACACACATGTTGTGGCCTCAACAAAGTGACAATTACTCAAATCAAAAAACCTTTGGGGTTGTAGGTAGTTGACTGAAATGGAGAAAAATTAATCTCTGAGTGTCAAGGATTTTATAGTGATAAAAAAACAAACAAGAAAACCCCAAAACCTCAAACCAGTGGTTATTGAATAAATAGCTTCCAACTCATGACAACCCCATGTGTGCTCCACAAGGTTTTCAATGGCTGATTGTTTTCAAATGTAGATTACCAGGCCTTTCTTCCAAGGTACCTCTGGGTGGATCTGAACTGCCAGCCTTTTGGTTACTAGTTGTGCTCTTTACTATCCACCTTGAGTGATGCCTTCAGTCATTTTAGCTCCCAAAACATGCTGAATGAAGACTGCTTTCTGCTACTACAGAAAAAATTTTACTAAAAGAAAATTGACATCTATGTAGCTCATCTCTTAGTATTAATGATGTGAGGTGACTCCGTCAATAGGCAGGAGGCATCATTACATGGTCTAACTGATTTATTTTTTGTCATCATCTTGGAGTTGGCAGAATTATGGTCCCTCAAAGATACCCATGTTCTAATCCCTAGAATTGGAGAATATTTTACCTTGCACTTAAAAGGAAAGCAGCGGGCTGACACTAAGAATTTAAACCAGTGAAACCCATTTTGGATTGTTTATGTCGGCAGTTCAAACCCACCAGCTGCTCCTCAGAAACCCTATCCAGGGTTGCTATGAGTGGGAATCGACTTGACGACACTTAACAACAACCACCACCTCCAGAACTGTAGGATTTGTGTTGTTTTAATTCACTAAGTTGGGGTCCTGGTGTGATGCTGTAGGGTAAGTACTGGACTGTTAAACACAAAGTTGGCGGTTCAAACCCACCAGCTGCTCCTCAGAAATCCTTGATGGGGTTGCTAATGAGTTGGAACTGACTCAATGGCACTTAAGTGGTGGTAATTTGTTACAACAGCAATAGGAAACAAACACAGTCCTTCTCATTTCCTGATATTTTTACTTGCTTATTGTCTGTCTCTACCACGAAAAACACTGAGATAGCTCTAGAGGTGTTCTTGGTTCAGCTTCAACATTGTAAGCTGACACCCTAAGGCAGCTGGTATTCCATAAATATTTGTGTTGACATTGTAAAGTGTTGTTGAGTCGATTCTGATTCTGACTCACAGAGACCTCTGAGGAACAACTGGTGGGTTTGAACCACTAACCATATGATTAGCAGACCAGTGCTGATCTTACAGCACCACACCAGGATGAATACTCTGTGCTGAGCTGGGAGCTTTTCCATGTGTTATCTCGTTCTCCCAACAGCTCCACAGGTTTTGGAGAGGAAATGAAGAGTCAGAGAAGACAAATAATTTCTCAAAGTCACACAGCTTATAAATTGGAGACGTGTGACTGGAACTCCCAAGTTCATACACTTCCCAATATATAGATAATGCAGAGTGCTTGGCTGAAGTACTTTAATTTAGATCCTTGAGAATCCGGCATCTAAACTTGTGTTGCAACACTTGAGGCCATGATGAAATTAAATAAAATAGAATAAAAAGGAAAATATTAGAGTTAATTACATATGATAAGGATAAATATTCTTTGGTGACTTGTTTCAGTTAAATGCATGTGTGTGTGTGAGAGAGAGAGGGTGACAGAGAAAGAGAAAGACAGGAAGGGAGGGAGGCAAGGAAGAAGGGAGGAAGAAAGAGGAGCTTGTGTAAAGCCTGCTAAAAAACAGGAGCAAGTGCTAGCTCAGAGGAAGGCTCTCTGTCAGCTCTGGAGGAAGCTCTTTTGTCTTCCAGTTCCTGGTTCCCTTGGAGATCTCATGTGTCTTGACATCTATTTTACCCCATCTCTCTTCTCTCTTGTTGAATCTCTTTTATATCTGAAATGAGATTGACTTGAAACACATCCTACACTAATCATGTCTCATTAACACACCAAAGACAAACCACGCCCAAATGGGATTATAACCACAGGCACAGAGTTCAAGATTTACAACACATACTTTTGGGAGACAACATTTCACTCCATAACAGTGTCTTTGAATGATAGTGCTAGAAAGCTGGGGGCAGTCCAGAGAGCTCAAGTTTTTGTTCCAAAGTTGCTGCTGCTTTTTTTTTCTTTGTGTGTGTGTGTGTTTTTTTTTTTTTTGGTGGAAGCATTAATTTAAGAAAATCATCTCCAAGACTTCATGTTCTGGAATTGCTGTTTTCCGGTGGATTATATATAGATACACAAGTGTATTCTTGAATGTTTATCAAATGTTGTCTGAGCTTTTGTGGGCTAACCTTTGTCTTGCTAAATGTAATGTTTCTTCTCATCTTTTTGGCAAGGACTTTACAAAAGTCTCTAAAGATATTCTGGAATGACTTGAGAATGCTGGATAGAATGGCTGCTGAATTCAGCAGGACTGTCTGCATGGAATCATTTCGATCATCCGTTAAGTGCTTTCCTTGGGGGTTCTTTGGGATAAGCTTTTATATTTTAGGATATAACCAGGTGGAATTCCTGGACAAAGGCCTCTTTTTCTCCACCCCCCCTCCTTTTCAGGGAAGAACAGTATAGATAGTCCCCGGGTTACAAACAAGATTCATTTCTAAGTGTATCTTTTAGTCTAATTTGTAGGTTAGTTGGAGCAAGTGGATAAAGTTCTTATTTAGTCTTACTTTAGTGCAGGAAAGGAGTCCCAATCCTTCACAAAGGCTCCTTAATAAATTACTTAGATGTACCATAACAAGGAAGGAGCTCTAGTAGTGTAGTGGTTACAAGTTAGGCTGCTAACCTCAAGGTCAGCAGTTGGAAACTACCAGCCATTCCGCAGGAGAAAGATGAGGCTTTCTGCTCCTGTAAATATTTACAGCTTCGGAAACCCTGTACAGGGTCACTATGAGTTGGAACCAACTCCACAGCACATCACCACCACCGCAATAACAAGGGAGTCCTGTTGTGGTGCTGTGGGTTAATGCGCTGGACAGCAAAGTTGGTTTAAACTGTAAAGTCCATACGTTCAAGCTCACCAGCTGCTCTTTGGAAATCTTATACAGGGCTGCTACGGGTCGGAACCGACTTGAAGGCACTTAACAACAACAACCATAACAAGAGAATAGGCAGCACACTGTGTTTCTTTGTGGCAACAGAGGAAGTGTAGTGCTTAAGTGCAAAGTGACTGGGATCAGACTGTCTTGAGTCCAAATTGTGGTTCTGCTCCTCACTGGCTTGGATGTCGTGGACAAGTTGTTTCAACTTTGTAGGCCTTATTTTCTCATCTTTAAAACGAGATGACAACAATGTCTACTTTAAAGAAGACTTGTTACACAGTTTACAATTAGATACTGAAAGTCAATGTTTATCTCATAGTAAGTACTCATTAAATGTTATTTATGGTCATGTTGTTGTTGAGTGCCGTTGAGTCGATTCCGACCCATAGCGACCCTGTATAGGGTTTCCAAGGAGCAGCTGGTGAGCTTGAACCGCCGACCTTGCAGTTCAAACGGCTTTGCAGTCTGGTGCATCAACCCACAGTGCCACACTAGGACTCCATTTATGGTCATGGTGCACATGAAATCAGCAGTAAAGGACTCAAGCAACATATGGACAAATCTCTGCAAAATACCTCTTTAAAGTTTTAAAAAACAAAGATGTCAGATGTTTGAGGCTAAGATATACCTCATCCAGGCCAAGGTCTTGAAATTGCCTCATTTGTCATTATTAAGTGTTGGTGAGTCAGTTCCAGCTCATCACAACCTTATACACAACAGAAGAAACACTGCTTGGTCCTGTGCATGCTCACATTGTTGTTACGTTTGAGCCCACTGCTATACTGTCAATGTGCCAATCCATGTCATTGGGGGGTCTTCCTCTTTTTCGCTGACCCTCCATTTTACAAAGCACAGTGTCCTCCTCCAGGGACTGGTCCATTCTGATAACATATTTGAAGCACGAGAGATGAAGTCTTGCCATCTGGCTTCCAAGGAGCATTCTGGTAGTACTTTTTCCAAGACAGATTTGTTTATTCTTCTGGCAGTCTATGGTGCTTTTAATATATGACTCAACAGCCCTTAACAACAACAACACAATAATTAAAGAAATGCTGGTAGAATAGTGGGTTACACACCAGGCTGCTAACTACAGCAAAGTTAGCAGTTTGAGTCAACCAGTTACTCCATTGGAGAAAGATGAGGCTTTCTGCTCCCATAAAGATACATAGCTTCAGAAACCTTACACAGGGTCACTATGAATTGGGACTGACTCCATGGCACAAAACCACCACCACCTCCCTATAATTAAGGACTCCTGATAGCATAGTGGGTTATAAGTTGGGTTGCTAACTGCAAGGTAGTGGTTTGAATCTACCAGTTACTGGTCCATGGGAGAAAGATGAGGCTTTCTGTTCCCATAAAGATTTATAGCCTTGGAAACCCTATACAGGGTTGCCGTGAATCAGAACTGACTCGATGGCACACAGTCATTGCAACTACACCATAATTAAA